TTTTTATTTTTTGGGGGGTTAGTGGAATGGGTTAATTGAAAAAATCTAATCTTGTTTTTCATTTTCTTTTTGCAGTCAAAGAAGATGATGAGCGACCCCACCCAGTCATGGACTTCACTTTTGGATCCAAGCTTAGGTTAGTAAATTTTATTCTTTTGGGGGGGTGGGATGGGTAAATTGAAAAAAATCTAATCTTGTTTTTATATTTCTTTTTACAGGACAAAGAAAATGATGAGTGACCCCACCCGAACATTAAAATCTGACTGTCTTCCAGAAGGCCCTACCCTAGGTTCTAGATTCCCATATTGCCAGCTTGATCTTGATTTTATATATAACCCATATCAGCAATACGAAACTCTACCCACTGGTGTCAATTTGTGGGCGTTGTACTTCAAGATTTTGCCTGGGACACTTCCATATTTGGAAGTCACACACAGGTCTTGTCTGTCACAGCTTTGTCCCCCTGGAGCTCCATATTTGGAAGTCATAAGTCTCATACATCACAGCTTTGACCACCTGGAGCTGCCTTTCCCGCCTTGCACTGACGTTATCTTGTGCAGACGAGACAAGAAGCAAAGTGGGTGACGCAGATTTGGAAGTTTAAACTAAGAAAATCTTGAAGTCGAAGGTCAGTACCACAACACAAGCAACATTCTTATAGTGGTATCGGGCATACTGTGTAGCTGTCAATCTTGGCACACGGCAAGCACGTGTATTGTATTTTTATCTTCAGGAGCAAATGTTCTTTGATAATCAAAAAATACAAAAACATTGGATATACGTTTTTTCTTTTAGAAACATTATTTATTTTTCACATTACATATCTTAAATACAGTAAATAGAATTAAATAAAGCAGAATTAAATCTGTTTTACATTTCATTTTGGTCTGATGACATTCAACTGCAGATTCATGTACTGGGAGCAGTTATATTTGATTGGCGGAAATCTAACACAGCCACTGTTCCTCAGGGCTCATAAAAGCAACCCATCACAAGGTATATATTAATATTTAACAAGCTAGCTTTTACCGTGCCCTAACACACAGGGCAGAAGGCCCAGAAGATGGTCTCAATTCACCACATCTGTGTCTGTACATAAAAAGTGCATCACTCTTAAGTGATGTAATATACCTGTATATATATATATATAATTTTTTTTTACTCGATCCAAAGATGTTCTTGAAGATGTTTCTTGTCTTGAAAACTCAAACCCACTTTGATGGAATGCTGCCAATGTGCACTCTGCCCCACCCCACCCCACCCCACCCCATCCCTTCTCCTTTCTTCATTTAAAGCCTACAGGCAGAACATCAATCAATTCAGGGATGTCCTCACAGGAACATTGAAAATAGTACAAATAGTGGTTTTGGTGGGAGGAATTTTTTTGTCAAGTAAAATAATGTGATGTTTCAAAATCAACAAACAGTCAATGTGACACACATTTAAGGTCTAACAACTTCTAAAAGCTTAAAATTTGCTACATTATTATTCATGGCATTACTTAATTCAGATGAGGGAAATTGAAAGATAAATCCATGAAATGCTTGGATTTCTCTGGTAGACAATTCCACCAGATTCCTTTTCACTGCATACGTAATGATTTACTAATTTCCCGTAAAACGTTATTGACAGATGTTGTGAATACGTGCAGGTAGTTTATTGTCCTAGTAAACAATTACGACGTGCTCTTATTGTATTGTTGGTTGATGTTGATTTCAGATCTATACTTCAAGTCTCAATGTAATAAAAGCTGTTATTTATAAACACTGGCATGCAATGTATGAACAACCAAATTTTGCATGTCTGCCAGAGCTTGGTTTCACCTTCAGCTGTGCCAGTTCTGGCAACCTGAAATAAAAAAGAGTTGGATAAGTCTATCTGCATTGTTTAAGGGTTTAATTTAATGTCAGATTGCTGCTCGTTATGCTTAAACCAGTCATATTAATTTCACCATTGAAAAAAATTCTACATATTTTGACAAAGTTTAATTTTTTAAATGTTCATATTTTAATGTATTTTTATGTTAGAATATACCTGTTTGCTATCATCCCTTTCATAAAAGAAATTCTCGACTGCATGTGGAGTATCCTCATCAAAAAGATATTCCTTTCTCAGATGAGTTTTGAAACTGTGGCTTAACATTCAGAAGGGAACAGACCTAGAATGGATTACAAATTCAATAATTAAAGATATGATCTTGTGATAATAAATCATCATGATACTGGAACTAGCTATTGCAGATAATAAATTTCATGTAAACATAAAATTTTATAGTGTTTATTTTCATTGCATGTTTGCGCACTATATAAAAAATTTATAATGAGATGCGTCTTTTTTCTAAAAGTTCTTGAAATTTGGGATACCTGTAATCTTATATAGTGTATTATACCTGTTTAAACTTGGCCCTTATTTTTTCTAGGTCACTATGTAGTCTTTCATAAGAGGGATCTCTCAATGGAAACGACTGAATCATATCTTGTAGACTTTCTAAAGCCTTCAGTTTTCTAGAATTACAGAAGAATCATATTAATTCACAATAAGTGTTTGAGTTCAATTGTACTATGTTCAAAACAAAGAAATATCTCACCTAAGGAGAAATCACACACATATCACAATATGTTTTCATTACATGGGAATGAACATGAAACGTAACCATCAGAAGTGCTTTTCACATATTCACTTTCAACTTAATTGATTAATTCAGGGCTAGACACTAACTAACATATATTTGACCTNGATGAGCGACCCCACCCAGTCATGGACTTCACTTTTGGATCCAAGCTTAGGTTAGTAAATTTTATTTTTTTGGGGTGGTGGGATGGGTAAATTGAAAAAAATCTAATCTTGTTTTTATATTTCTTTTTACAGGACAAAGAAAATGATGAGTGACCCCACCCGAACATTAAAATCTGACCGTCTTCCAGAAGGCCCTACCCTAGGTTCTAGATTCCCATATTGCCAGCTTGATCTTGATTTTATATATAACCCATATCAGCAATACGAAATTCTACCCACTGGCGTCAATTTGTGGGCGTTGTTCTTCAAAATTTTGCCTGGGACACTTCCATATTTGGAAGTCACAGGTCTCGTCTGTCACAGCTTTGTCCCCCTGGAGCTCCATATTTGGAAGTCGTAAGTCTCGTACATCACAGCTTTGACCACCTGGAGCTGCCTTTCCCGCCTTGCACTGATGTTACCTGGTGCAGACGAGACAAGAAGCAAAGTGGGTGACGCAGATTTGGAAGTTTAAACTAAGAATATCTTTTATATATATATAATTTTTTTACTCGATCCAAAGATGTTCTTGAAGATGTTTCTTGTCTTGAAAACTCAAACCCACTTTGATGGAATGCTGCCGATGTGCACTCTGCCTGCCCCACCCCACCCCACCCCACCCCATCCCTTCTCCTTTCTTCATTTAAAGCCTACAGGCAGAACATCAATCAATTCAGGGATGTCCTCACAGGAAAATTGAAAATAGTACAAAGAGTGGTTTTGGTGGGAGGAATTTTTTGTCAGGTAATATAATGTGATGTTTCAAAATCAACAAACAGTCATTGTGACACACATTTAAGGTCTAACAACTTCTAAAAGTTTAAAGTTTGCTACATTATTATTCATGGCATTACTTAATTCAGATGAGGGAAATTGAAAGATAAATCAATGAAATGCTTGGATTTCTCTGGTAGACAATTCCAGCAGATTCCTTTTCACTGCATACGTAATGATTTACCAATTTCCTGTAAAACGTTATTGGCAGATGTTGTGAATACGTGCAGGTAGTTTATTGTCCTAGTAAACAATTAAGACGTGCTCTTATTGTATTGTTGGTTGATGTTGTTTTCAGATCTATACTTCAAGTCTCAATGTAATAAAAGCTGTTATTTATAAACACTGGCATGCAATGTATGAACAACCAAATTTTGCATGTCTGCCAGAGCTTGGTTTCACCTTCAGCTGTGCCAGTCCTGGCAACCTGAAATAAAAAAGAGTTGGATAACTCTATCTGCATTGTTTAAGGGTTTAATTTAATGTCAGATTGCTGCTCGTTATGCTTAAACCAGTCATATTAATTTCACCATTGAAAAAAATTCTACATATTTTAACTTTTTAAAGTTTAATTTTTTAAATGTTCATATTTTAATGTATTTTTATGTTAGAATATACCTGTTTGCTATCATCCCTTTCATAAAAGAAATTCTCAACTGCATGTGGAGTATCCTCATCAAAAAGATATTCCTTTCACAGATGAGTTTTGAAACTGTGGCTTAACATTCAGAAGGGAACAGACCTAGAATGGATTACAAATTTAATAATTAAAGATATGATCTTGTGATAATAAATCATCATGATGCTGGAACTAGCTATTGCAGATAATAAATTTCATGTAAACATAAAATTTTATAGTGTTTATTTTCATTGCATGTTTGCGCACTATATAAAAAATTTATAATGAGATGTGTCTTTTTTCTAAAAGCTCTTGAAATTTGGGATACCTGTAATCTTATATAGTGTATTATACCTGTTTAAACTTGGCCCTTATTTTTTCTAGGTCACTATGTAGTCTTTCATAAGAGGGATCTCTCAATGGAAACGACTGAATCATATCTTGTAGACTTTCTAAAGCCTTCAGTTTTCTAGAATTACAGAAGAATCATATTAATTCACAATAAGTGTTTGAGTTCAATTGTAATATGTTCAAAACAAAGAAATATCTCACCTAAGGAGAAATCACACACATATCACAATATGTTTTCATTACATGGGAATGAACATGAAACGTAACCATCAGAAGTGCTTTTCACATATTTATCTTCAACTTAATTGATTAATTTAATACAATAAAGTCCAAAAAGACACAAAGTATCATACAAGTATGCAGGTCAGGTTCTAACCTTGTTTTCTCGTTTGTTGATTCCTCTATCAGTGACTTCATGACCCCAGTGTATCCATCATAGAACCCAATCTGTCACAAGGTGAAACAAATGAGGTTTAACCATTAAGGGACTGTTTCAACACATTGCACCACATATGCACAACATAATGACAACCATTTCAGGTACCAAATTCATTCACTACTATATCATAATTATCCGTTCAGTGTAAGATATTCCACTCAAAATATCTCTAGAGGTGTCGTTTAAAAATAGTTCTTTGAAGATTGGCATTACTATGAATTCTATAGATTTTATATAATACACACCAGCCATTTCATGCTAATAAAAATTCCTCAAGACTCTATGCCAGATGATGAACAGATAAGTTCAGGTGGATTATATATGCTTTCTTCAAAATTATACCATTAAATTTAAATTGACTTTAAATATCACAAAAAAAAAAAAAAAAAAAAAAATGCTGCAAGTTTGAATATTCAACCTTTTTTAATTCTCACCTCAGTTGCCATATCTGCACCCTTCTCCTTGCCTAACATATAGCCTTCATTGTACCCTTGTGTCCTGCCTGTTTGTAATCCCTCTGTAAATCCTTCTGATTGAAACCTCAATTTAAAAAAAACTGATATAATGATGACTATGATTTAGAAGAGAAAGGCCTTGTTAAAAAAAAAAAAAAGAACAACATGATAGGCATCAATCCATTCATCTATTCATCCACAAATCAATTGTTAAAAGCCATTGATCCGTATTCTGAAAAGAACAATTTAGGCCACTATGGAAATATCACTCGAAATTATTTTCTGATCAGAAGTTATGGTGCAGGGGCGGATTTAGTCCATCTTCTGGGTCTTCCAGAAGACGGTCAGATTTTCAAGTTTACATTGACTGGTATCTGATTTTTTCTGTCAGAAGACGGTCAAAAATGGAGGATGGATCAACAAAAATAATTTGGAAGACTGTCAGAAAATATGTCTGGATCTGCCCCTGTGGTGAACTTACTTATTTTCTGCTAAAGCAATATCATCAAAGCAACTGTTCACATCTAGTTCATCTAGGGGAGTTGCCATTTCCTTAATCGAATGTTAATCTGAAAATAAACTTCTGTCAAAGTTTTTTCCTTAATTTTTAATGCATTCTGATTTTATATCTTATAACAGTGTGCGAATACTGATTACATTAAAATCAAAACTAATTATCTTAGGGACTATTCCAACAGATATTTGGATCCATGCATCTATCTCCCTGGGGAGTCTCACTAAATTGCTGTCAACTTGATCAGCTTAAATGTCTGTCACGCCTAATAAAGCTGTTAAGGGGTAATTATCTTTACCACCTCGCTGATTCGGTAGGCATGACAGACATTTAAGCCCCAGGGAGTTATATGGATCCAGATGGATCGATCTATATAGGCATGGGAACCCATGCAGTCTTAATGGTGTGTGATACTACGTGAGGGAGGGGGGGGGGGGTACATGCCAGTACACCATGTAGACGCTGCCTTTCCATGAAAATAGTTCAAAATTATATCTAAATACACCAGGATTTCTGTTTCTTTATTTGATACAGACAAAATTAAAAAGACTGATTCTGACTGTTTCAAACCTGTTCGGATAACATACTGTTACGTATGTCATAATATGGATGTGTTGTCATTTATTGCCTAGGCTGTTAAAAAAAGTAAATGCGTATTTGATTCTTCATTGGTACTGATTTTAGTAGCTGCAATGGTTCTTACCCCTTATAACAACTGTCAAAACTTCTCGATTTCTTTACTAAGCACACAGGCCCTTTCACCGTGTTTTCACCGCAACACATTCCTGACTCCATTTAAAGAAGAGTACAGGTGTGACATCGTGAGTCGAGGGTCACTTTGCACTGACAAGACAGCTTCAAATTAATAGATCATAAAAGTTTCTATGATTAGATATAGACTATTGTAGTATGTCGCATTATCGTGCTATATTGACAATTGCGCATTGCTATCCAATCTTTTGTGCGCATATCTACCGTATGTATTTGTACCAAATTATATTTTCCAGCTATCACCAATTTTAGTACTAAATGGAATTTCCCCCATTTAATATTACTATTAAAGAAACACTTCCAGGAGGCGTTTTCCTTGGGCTCACACCCATTCCATGCATTTTTATTTCAAGTAGAAATGCACATTAAAGGAGGTATACATCCCATCACTTAAATAACTTTGTACCATATGACATTACATGTACACATTACTGTTTAAAACAAAATGTGAAGATTGAACACTATGAAGACTATACCCATTACAATGTTCAGATTTTCATGCCAGCTGAATTGTTCCATTTTGTAATAAAGGCAGTTTTCACTTCAGAGTTGAAAATAAATATTTTGTGGAGAATGTGTGCATGCATTTTTTTCTCAAAAAAATAGGCAATATTTAGGGCAGAACCTAGAATGGTTATCTTGACAAGAACTTTCTTTCTTACAACTACAATATATTTTTGTAAGAGATGAAAATAAATATTTTGTGGAGTGTGTGTGCATTTTTTCTCAAAAATAGGCCATTTTTAGGGTAGAACCTAGAATGATTATCTTGAAAAGACATTTCTTACAACTACAATTTTTTTTTTTAAATCACAGAACCTGACTGAATGAGGAAGAAATTTTTATTTTTTAAAGTTCACATTAGTTTTAAATTGATGGAAAAAAAGAACAGTCAACAACAGTTATGTTCATTAAGAAATGTCCCTTTATTATTAGATTTGTTTACATTCCCAGAACATCCATAAATATGAATTTGTTTAAAGAAAATTATGATAGTATGCCCAGCATCATAAAAGAAGCTTACAGATGGGAAACAAAGGCAGGCTTTCTTTAAAGTCTGTTATATCGGCCACTTCAACAACACCATCTTCACACTGTTCAGAACAGACCATCTGGTACCTTAGTTTATTCCCATTTCTTGCTTCTGAGCATCTTTCAGCAACTCTTCTGCTCATCTCTGGGTTTAGTGCAACACTCTCCCGAGAGCTACCTTTCATATTGCGTACATCTTTTAATTCTGAAGTATATAAACCTGAAGAATTGCTTGTCTGTTCCATTGTGTTGGGACTCTTTACTTCTGTAGAACAAACACCACCACCTGAAATGCTCCTATGCTCTTGACAATCTCCAATAACCTGAGACAAAACCAAGAAAAATTTAATAATAAGGCATATTTTGAATTTTCTCTTTTTAAGTGGAGATTCAAAAAACACATTGTGAATTTTATTTCCTCCACTTTTTAACTTCACCACTTTAATTCTTCCTTTCTTTCTTTCTTCTTATTTTTAATTGTGATGATTTTTTAAACTAAATCTCCAATGTCTCACCTGTACACTGAGTTTTTTTCTTTCTGACTCCAGTGTGTTCTGGTAGTGCCATTTCCTAAACTCCTGCAATGTTAACTTCTCTAACTCTGCAATCTGTAAACATTGAAAATGAACTAATTAACCAACTGCATGAAAAAGAAAGCGTGATATCTGGACATGAATTACTTGAGTGTATATTTTTACACAAAAAGTGTCAAGTAAAACTTAAATATTTTATTATCCAGCATCTTTTGAAATTTGCCCATCAAAACAGAACAACCCATCTTACTGTCTTTTGCCTTCTGTCAAATATATATTGCTGGTGTACAATTTGGCCCCAGTTGCGGTCTGCTACCTCCCCCATGTGAGAGTCCTCGCATTTTTTTGTTGTTATCATGGCATTAACCTGCAGTGAAATGTTTTAAATCTCAATTTTGCTGTTAAAATGAGAAATGCATTCAACTATTATTAGACACTAACCCACTAATCTTTATCTGTTTTTCCTAATTACTTTAGTTTTTTCTTTATCTATTTTTTCTTATTATTTCACTGTTTTATTTCATCTATTTTTCTTAATTTTTTTAATACACACCAGAGATTCAAATTCCTCCTCAGACATCT